TTTTTTTTTTTTTTGAGATGGAGTGTCACTCTCTCACCCAGGCTGGAGTGCAGTGGCACAATCTGGTCTCACGGCAACCTCCGCCTCCTGTGTTCAAGAGATTCTCCTGCCTCAGCCTCCCGAGTAGCTGGGACTACAGGTGCATACCACCATCCTGGCTAATTTTTATAATTTTTAAGTAGAGACAGGGTTTTGCCATGTAAGCCAGGCTGGTCTCAAACTCTTGACCTCAGGTAATCCACAAGCCTCGGCCTCCCAAAGTGCCGGGATTACAAGTGTGAGCCACCTCGCCTGGCCTATCCTGGTATATTTTACAATCACAAACATACAGAAACAACCTAAACATCCAATAATTTTAAAATTATTTCTATATTATGATATTTGTCAGAATAATATGCAGCAAATCAAATCATATTTACAAACTATATTGAGCAAAATGGGAAATGCATAAGATGTTATATTAAATAAAATGTTTGTACAGACTAGTGGTAGTAAACATGCCTTGAAGAAAAGAAATGCAGAATATTAACTTAGAAGGTAAAATTTCTGCAGTGAGCCTATAGTACTTCCATGATATGAAAAAATATTTAAAGATAGGGATTAACAATCTTACCCACATAACCAAGAAATGTCTTGCCACAAGTGCTAAAAGTAAATTTAAAATGTTCAAAATATTTTAAAAGTAGAATAACAGATTTGAAAAATTAGCTATTCTGTCATGTAATAGTTTTGGTTAAAGATGTTTATTATATTCATAAACGAGTTTTGTTCACTGAGTTAAAGTATTATTAATTTTAAATCCCCATGAAACACAATCAATATTAAATGCCAAATAAATGTTTGTCAAGCATCTAGTTTTAACAAAGTTTAGTAATTAAAGTATGAAACTAAAAAGTAGAATGATATGTACATGAATGTCAAGTATAAGTACAAGTACCTGTATGTCAACTATAAGTACATGTACTTCAAGATAAGTTTATGCTCTTTCTGTTATGTATTGCAGAAGGTGCTTGAAATACATTTTTTGAGGTATACCCCTGAAATCTAAGTAACCTTCCAATTAATTTCTACATTTTGAAAATGCGTATATAATAATGGTATCTAAATTATACCAAATCTATTTTTTATGTTTTAAGTTATTTAGCATAACTTAGTGAAACTATGTTTGACATCACATAAACAGCCACTTGCTTGTGCAGCTATTTCACTCTGCCAGCCAGTGTGATTTGGGTTGTGTCATATTATGCAATAGCCTAAGTCTAACCAGCAAAGAAAAGTTGAGAAAAATGATCAAGAAGAGACATAGGCCTCATGTTGAATAGTATCATATTTTTACTTTACATAATTATCACACATTAATTCATGTCATTTGAGGAAGGCAGATTAAGACATTTTCATTTTGGGGGAGTGACGTCATTGCCATAATTTCTTCTAACAACACAACTCTTTGTTTTTCAGCTGCTTCTTTGCTTTGCATTCAGGCAGATGAGCTACAAGAAGCTCTCACCTCCCACTGTGTGGTCACTAGAGGAGAAACAATTATTCGACCCAACACTGTAGAAAAAGCTACTGATGTCAGGGATGCCATGGCTAAAACTTTATATGGACGTCTTTTTAGTTGGATAGTCAATTGCATTAACAGTTTGTTGAAGCATGACTCATTACCAAGGTAAAAATTTTTACAGAAACATTTTTTCCCAAATATCAGGTGATGTAAATCTATTTTCTAACTGATTGTTTTGTATAGGTCTCTTTCAAGACGTTTCTTTTTTTTTTTTTTTCAGGCCCACAATACTTTTTTATTATTATTATTTGTTAATATATGTATATTTTATTGCATTTTAGGTCCTGGGGTACATGTAAAGAACATGCAGTTTACAAACCAAGTAACACTGATCCACTCTGCAAGATCTGGAGCTTCATCATCATCCTCCTCTCCAGTAGCAAGTGGTGCTTTTCCATCCACACATTGTTTGGAGAGAGCTTCAGCCAGTCTCCTTAAACTAGTCAGACTGTCTGCCCAAAGCTTAAGATGCTGGGTAGCACTTCTGTCAGCTGCTTTGTCTCAGCATGGCCTGTAAAGGTGAAAGTGTTCGCTGCCAGAGATGCCTGCACTTTAGGGTTGTTAAAGTGGATCACTGTTCTTCGGTTTGTAAATATATTCACCTCTTCAATACCAGAGATACTGTTTACCCCTAACTTCTTTAAGGAAAACTGAAGTTTTTAATTATCTGCTGTGGCTGTTCTATGAACCACCTTCTTTTTCTGCGAGCAGTTCCTTTCCCACCAATGTGCACCTGTGCCTGCAGTTTGGCAAGTTTTTCCTGGTTCATGATTGTTTCTTTCATCTTGGCAGCATGGATAAAGGGTTGCATGGGGAACTAGGGTTGATTCTCTGGGGGTCTCGGGTGGACCACCTGAGATTAGGCACACACATGCGGGCCAAGATGTTTCTAACTGATAAAATTAAATTATTAAAATGATAGTTTAGTTGATAACTTCACTTCCTAATAGTCCCACCTCATAATGCCACATAACTGTAAAATTTTTAAATTGCTGCAACATAAACTGTAGCAACATGAATAACACAATAGAAAGTGAATTTTTAAAAATTTGATATCTTACTATCAACTAATAGGTTCTTTTAATTAGAAGTTGTATCATGAAGCATATACCATTTTATGCTTATGTAAAATGTCAGCTTAGCAGTTCTTTGTATTTATTTTGAGGGTTTAAATTAAACCTTGAAGATAAATGTAAACTGTCTTTTCATATTTTAACTCTAACTGTAACCCCATTATATCCTCACTGTAAATCCAATGAAATTTGGTTCAGAAATGCACTAGATAAATGTAGGTAATAGTAAATGGCAGAGCCAGGATGTAAGTATTATTACCTGACTGTAAGTCTAAAGCCTTCCTTCTTAAATATAATTACAGCTACCATTGACTAAGTGCTCTCTATAAGCTGGGCTTGTACGTAGATCCAGGTCCTTACATTTGCATCTAAAGCTTTGTTCTGTGATAAATGGCATAATCTTTAGAATTTCGCATGTGGAAGAGCAAGATGGATGCCTACCATCAGATCACCTCCTTCACATTTGCTTACTAAGCATAAAAGACCATTATACACATTTCAAGTGTGCAATTCATTATTATTTTTTCACTAAAATACATACCACACCATAGTACCATGTATAGTCAAGATATCTAAAAGCCATTATTTCTCCATGTTCCGTGTCTCTCAAAATTGTGTCTGCACCTCCTGGGTACCATATATACCATTTTCCCATTTTGAGGTAATGGTCAAAATGGTTTGTATGTTCTTCTGTGGTCATCTATATTATGTCAAGCATTCATATGAAAATGGAAAAAAATCAGGGATTTTTATTATCTGTATATTCCAGAAAATATAGGCAAGATATTTAGTGATTTGGCCTCATTTTGTTAATTATCATCTGCATATTTGGCACTAAATGAAACCTACCCAGAAGGGGGGTCCACTGTAGCCTATGTACTAAATGTACATAGACTAAATATACTAAATGGCAACTTTCCTTTCCATTCGCTAATGAAAACCATCCAAATCTTAGATTTTCAGAATTTTTACAGAAAGTTTAAAAACTAAAGGGAGGCCAGTTGAAATAATTTAGTTCAACTTTGTCAAGATGTACACTAAGATTTTAAACAGCACATGTTGTATGCTAAGCTTTGCCACTAACTCGTTATGGGTTACTGTGCAACTTACTGCATTTGTCTGGGTTTTTCCCTCCTCAGCTGTTAAATAAGGGCATTGAATGACGAGTCAGTGGTCTTAGTTGTTGGGGTGTATCTTGGAGCCTTTTAAGAACATCTTGAAAACTTCCTTTTTCCTTCACTTCAAAATAAAAAATGGATATATTTCTACATGCCCACCAAAATATTGCACACTTATGATTCCAAACCACTTGAAAGCCATGAACAGATCCTACTTTAAGAATCCCTGAACTAGGTCATTTTTAAGGTCCCTCCTGGCTCTAACACTTTTTTATGCAGTGAGTTAAATATTTATCTCTGTGGGATCCTGTGGGGCAAAGAGATTGTAAAGGGATAATAATTTTGATAAAACCAGCATAAGTATTCACTAGACGTCTTGGCTCATACAATAATATAGAATTATTATTCAAAATAGGAACTTTTGGAAATACTGATAGCTTTCCCTTTGTCCATCCCAGCACATATTTAAAGTATTCCACAGCCTGAAATTTGAATTCAATCACTTCCTCCAAATGTAGAGCAGACCCTTCAGCTCACAGTGTGCAGTTGCTGACTGTCATTTCCAAATCACTTCCTTACATAATGCTAAGTGTAACCCTGGAATACCTAAATGACGAACACGTAGAGAAGCTTTTGTACTTTCTTTTTAAATTTACATCACAATAATTCTGCAATGTATCTATTTCTTTGGGGAGGAGTAAACCTTTTGACCAATAGTAGAAAAAAATGTATTTGAAATACTTAATTGTGAAATAGTATTTAATTATATTTTAAAGGATTTAAATGTAAAAATAAATCCCTATGTATTTATCTTTCTCCAGGTTGCCATTTGTTCTATATTTTAAAAACTATAAGTAAATGACCCAAAAGCAAATAACAATTCTTTAAAATAATTAAGATCTTTTAGTAAGATTTTCAAATTATTCTCTTAAAATTAAAGACTATACTCTTTAAGAGAGTTTTTGCTTTTCTGGGACAGTTTTTGATAAATATATTTTTGCTGTGCTCTAATCGCTACCCAGGTGGTTCTTGTAATTCCTGACTCACTCAAACCTGTTATTTTGTTCTTAGGAGAAGAAAAAGTTTCTTTTGTTTCAGTATATAAGAGTATCTAAGTGGTTTCTGTAGCTCAAGGAAAATATTGTTCCATTTTCATATAAAAATCAATATCTGCCATTATCTTTATGTGCTACAGACAGAAACTATTTTAGTGAAGAAAATTTCACTCTAAATGTATGTCTTTATAGTAGTTTCTTAGCTCAATCACAAATGGCAACTCTAAGATTCCCTGTTTTCCATTACCTCTTCAGGAAATAAAATAATGTCTCTTTTATTCTTCTAGTGAGAATGGTGATGAGCTGAGCATTGGCATTCTTGATATATTTGGCTTTGAAAATTTCAAAAAAAATTCCTTTGAGCAGCTGTGCATTAACATTGCAAATGAACAAATTCAGTATTATTATAATCAACATGTGTTCGCATGGGAACAGGTAAGCCGAAGTACTTACTATAAAGATGCATGCATGTGTATATCATATGCAGACTTGTGCAAATGAAGCAGGACCTTAACAATAGATCTAAAGCCTGTGAGTTGATATGTGATGTTAAGTGTCCTCCACTGAAAATCGGTACACTCCTCTCCAAAACTTAGAATTCTGAGCCTTTGCAAACAAAGAAATTTCCTTTGAAAATTTAAGTAAATAAATGTGTCCAGCAGTTTTTCTTTCTGTAGACTACATAGCTGAAATTCTGTTTGAAATTTCACTAACCATCTAAAAGCCATTAAACTTCAGAATTCCAGTAGCTAGGCAACAGAACATAAGTTAATGGGTTCGATGCAAACGCCATGAAATGATCATTTTGTCAAGGTACAATGTGTAATTTATGAATCACCTTCAAAAAAATATTCCTCTTTAGAGAAAAATGACTTACTTGAATCACATTTGACAAACTGTAATACTAAGAATATTTAAATTATTTTAAGTCTAAAACAGTCATATTTAATATCATCCAGTATGTCATTTGTCTCCTTCAAATAATATTATATTGCTTTGCATTTAAATTAGAGGTACATGAACTTCATTTTGTTCAAAATATTTAGGCTTCTTAAAAATTTATTTTGGAATTACATTTTGAAAACAGTGGTCACAAAATAAAGCATTTAGATTTTGACATTTCTTAAGCCAACAAAAGACATAAATTTAAGACCTTATGTGGTGGTCAGCTCTCTTTTATCTATCACAGGATGTTCCATCAAATATTCATTCCCTCTTCCTCTCTCCCTCTTCTTGTCTCCTTCTCTACCCCTCTCCATTGGTGCCTTCCCATAACCTAGATATGTGAAGAAATCTCTATAAAATCTTAAAAGCAAACAAAATAAAAAACAAAGCCCTTTTCCATTCTGCTTACCTCTGTAGCATGGTCCTCTCTCTTCCCCTCACAGCCAAGCTCCTTGAAAGCATATTCAGCACTCACTGCATTGCATGTCTTCCTTCCTCATCTGGCACACTGAGTCTGCAGTATCTGGCTCTGACCTCCCCGACTCCCCTGGAATGGCCCTTCCTTGTCTCAACATCCTAGTTCATTTTTGTCTTTCTCACTAGGCTGTAAACTCCTTTAGGTCATATACTGTGTCTTAATTCTTTTTTTAGAGGCTGACATGTAGCAAGTGCTCAATAAGTATTAATTAAACTAATGTCACCTTACTTTAATGCTTCACAATACTGACAACATCCATTTGAACCAGAGAACAAAACAAGTAATACATTCTTGGTTTGGACTCTGATACGATCTATCAAAATTGCTGACTTTATGGGACCAGCTGCATCCCCAGGCATTGCCCATCTGATGAGTTACTGACTTGCATTGGTAGATCTCTGCTGTTCTTTTGGTGATTGGGTAGACCCTGGTTTTAGCCTTAACCAAGGTACAGATATTTCAGTAATTATTGCTTTTCACGTTTTATAAAATGTTAGTTTACAAATCGATTTTTTTAAATTGAGATAGAATCTCACTCTGTCATCCAGGCTAGAGTGCAGTGGGGCAATGTCAGCTGACTGCAGCCCCTACCTCCCAGACTCAAGCAATCATCCTGCCTCAGCCTCCCAACTAGCTGGGACCACAGGCATGCACCACCACACCTGGCTAATTTTTGCATTTTTTCCTGGAGACGGGGTTTCACCATGTAGACCAGGCTGATCTTGAACACCTAGGCTCAAGCCATCTACCTGTCTCAGCCTCCCAAAGTTCTGGAATTACAGGCATGAGCCACCAAGCCCAGCCTACAAGTTGCTTTGATTGCTAGCCTTGAATTTCATTCATGATTCCAATGCTATTAATTCCTTTGTCTATGGCTTGTTACAAAAATTATTCTATAAAGCCCTTTAAGATAACCTTGAGAGGATTTCAGAACAAAAGAACTCAGAATTTCCCCCAACAAAATAAAAAATTCAACTAGAATCCAGAATTATACAAAGCACTTTGAGGAATTAAAACAGTTTCCAGTCCTTCAGGTACCTGGAGTAACTACCTAGGAATTTCTGCTTCATAATCTTATGAAACAAACAGTGGCCGCTGAGCACAATCAAACTGATGAATGTGTTATCCAGGAGACACAGAATTAGTCAATGACTCTCTTGATTTTAACACATGAGTGTATTTGTTTTTTCTTTCTAACTGTCCTGTGAAGGCTGAAAATATAACTGAGAAAAACTAACTAACTGTATGTATTAGCTATCGCAGACAAAGAGCACACTTACACTAATTTCCATAAATGAGAAACTGCTATTAAACCATGAATTAAAGTCATTGTCTACATTTTTTGGTTGAATATAATCACAGGTTGGACCTGAGAGCTCCTTAGTTTAATAGAGCCATTATTGCCTATCAGAAAGAAATAGTGTTCTCACTTTATGAGTCGTACAAATGATCTGGCCAGATCTCAGCACAAGCCTTGGGCAGCACCTTTACGGATGAATCACTTCTGTTCTAGCTTAAACCAATAAACATTATTTTTATTGACAGTTTACAACACTGGAACATAAATAATAGTCTGCTGAAAATGTTTTCCTATTTAGTCTAATTTAAGTATATTTGTAATAGACAATGGGACACTCCAGCAAAGCTGTTTACAAAGGTATTTTGAATATCATTTCCCCATTGCCTTCCATTTAAAAAAGATCAATAAATTACAGTAAAGTATTTTTCATGAAAGAATTTATAATGGTGACCTAATCTATAGCATGCAGAGTAGATAGTTTTATGCTTCCTGGAATTATTTCCAACCATTTGTATTACTTTTGAAACATTTTCCTAAATCCAGGAATCTCTATTATCCACTCACTGGTAGCTATACCACCTTTCTCTTCATAACCTACTTTCCTATGGACATTTACTATGTGCCTCAGAATCTCTTAATAACAACCTGGAGCATCCAATTTGTATCCCTTTATTTTCCTTATTATTTACATATTTAGAATGTTAAGAGAGCTTGTGTATAGAAGCATTACTTTTCTATGTGTAAAATATGTAGCTCTTAAAATTTTTCTGCAGTTTGATATTTCATATTATTTGAAGCTTTTACAATTTCCCAGCACAGGGAGAACAAGAGTTCGCATTTTTACAGGATATATATTATCACTATTTTTTAGAATTTTTGAAAAATAGTTATTTCATTAAAGTGTTATTAAAAATATGTGTATCTAGAAAGAGAAAGAATGAAAAATCAAACATGATAAAGCATTAACAGTTTTGAAATAGCCACCATGTAAAAGGTACATGGGAGTTCCTTGTACTATTTTTAAATTTTTCTGTAAGTTTTAAATTATTTCAAAATGAAAAGTGGCAAAAGTTTTTTTTTTTTTTCACCCTAATAAACATAAACATAGTTCATCTAGAGTTCTGGTAGCACTCTTACAGAAATCTTAGATTTTCAACCTTTATAATTTTTGTTTGAAAACAGTGGATTTTTGTCAATGGTTAGAGTAAGTAACTTCTCATTGGTTTCTTTCCACCCTGGGTAGTTTTCATGAATATGCACACCATTTGAGGAGCGGTGAGTAGGAGTTATTTTACTAAAATACAGACTTCAGGGACTATGTGTCCATGTAGCTTCTTTCCTCCTGCAAACGTTCTGTCCACAGTCTTAACCACATTTATTCATTGAGTTTCAAAACATATCCAAGCAGTTGTGCATTCAGAAATATTAGAACTAGAAGAACCTAAATAGATTATCTATATTTCATTGATTAAAATGACTCCTTCCCCTCAACTGTGATTTGCCCAAGGTTATAGAACAATGAAACGAAACCAGGACCTAAGTAAGGGGCTTCTGACAGTTCTCTACAGTTTTTCTCATGAACAAACAAATAAGCAAGGACCAGGGATCTAGTAAAGTAATCTCGTATGCAGAAGAAAAAGGCGCTCTTTCCTTCATTTCTTTCTTTCTAAATAAATAAGAGCACCTTTTCTTCTGCATAGGGGATTATTTTATTAATCTATTAGATTGCTAATTATTAGATTATCATTATTAAATTATAAACTATTATTTAATTATTAGATTATTTCTATTAGATTAGGAAGGAGGAAGGAAAAGAAGCATAGGTCAGTCTTAACATGAAAGGCCAAGGAGAATCAACATAAGGCAGGATAGAGGAAGACAGGAGATCCCGAGGGGCACTGAGGCTGGCAGCAGAGGCTGGCAGGGACTGTGACAAGGGGAGACCCCTCACAGGAATTAGAACTAGAAGGTGGAACAACTAAAAAGGAGAATACAGCCACAAACAAAGAAATCTCAGACGTGACTTCAGGGTTGGAGTGGAAAGAGCATTTTTGTCATGCCCTAAAAAACAGAAGCAATCAGTGCAGTGGCTCACGCCTGTAATCCCAGGACTTTGGGAGGCCAAGGAGGGTGAATCACCTGAGGTCAGGAGTTCCAGACCAGCCTGGTCAACATAGTGAAACCCTGTCTCTACAAAAAAATACAAAATTAGCCAGGTATGGGTGGCAGGCATCTAGCACCCCAGCTACTCGGGAGGCTGAGGCAGGAGAATTGCTTGAACCCAGGACCCGGTGGTTGCAGTGAGCCGAGTTTGGGTCCACTTCACTCCAGCCTGGGCGAAAGAGCAAAACTCTATCTCAAAAAAAAATAAATAAAAGAAGAGAAACTCTATCTTTTTTATCTTTAATTCTATTTTCCCCAGCCCGAACTACCCCTAATCACACACAGAGTAGGCACTTCATGAATATTTGAGGAATTTGAGTGTATCACATCCTCTGCAGTGATCTGTACCAAGACAGTACCACAAACCCAGGTGAATTGCCAGTGCCATCTCATGAAATAAATTTCATTCTTCCTCCCATGACCTAAAACGGGTAGGACCATAAAAAAGCGGACTAAACTTATGAAAGAGATACTGATTTATGACTTGATAACAGGAAACAGGAGAATATTGAGGTTCATATATACTATACACCAGCTGTTAACATTTCC